ATGTAAATATATATATTTATATATACGTATACTTCAATTCAGTGATTGTTAACTGGCATATCTTATTTTTTTAGGAAGAAAAAGAAAGGAAATTAATGACTTTTTTTTTTTTTTTTGATTAGAATATATCACTAGTAACAACAAATTGTGGTTGATTGCTGAGACTTTTGTTTAAAAAGAAGTTTTATATTCCTTTCTGCATCTACCTTATTTCCTTTTTTTGCTCTTGATGATTTTCTCCATTCCGCCGTAAATTAATTAAAAATACATTGGTCCAGATATAAGGCTGATTAGATTTTGGATGTATGCTTATCCTGGGCCAGAATTTTGCCCATCTATTTAATCACCGCTGAGGGAAATTTGGCGCTGTTTGAGTACTCTTTTCGTTAGCTAAGTACAGTTTAGTATATCAGGATCACCTAAACGCGGGTTCTCCATGCAATGAAATATAGCCGAGGACAAACTGTTCTGTGCACATGGAAAGACAATTCAAAAAATTATGAGGCTAAGGTTCGTATTTTTTGGATTTAACGTGGTGTTTCCTGCGCTTTCTTTTTATGCTCATTTTATTGAAATTAGTTGTAAGTTGCCATATTTTTATATTATTTAGAGCCCTAGGTAAATGAAAAGTTATATGTTGGCATAAATAGCACTAGTTGCTTTATAATTTTACAGATGAAGACTGTGAAGTATTTATGGTTTTTTGGGTCAAAGGCCTTACGGTTCTTTCGAGATCGTAAACAGCTATTTTTAAAATATTTGAAAGCCGCGATCTCTAATATGTCGATAAAAAAAGCAACATCAAATCTGGCTGCATTTTTTTGTTTTATCATTTTATATTTAAAAAAGTGTTTAGAATGATCTGTGCATGTTCTTAAGCTTTCTAGATAATAGAAGTTAGTGCCAAACGCAAAAAGACGCCTTATAAAGTTCATTATTTGGGTTGGAAGCATAAATGGGACGAATGGATTGGAGAAGATAGGATAATGGAAGGTAATTCAAGATTTTTTTTTTATGTATTATATATATATATATATATATATAATTGCCTTTATGAGCTTTAATATTTGCCCGATAAGAATTAAGCACTCACTAATGATATTCTTCATAAACACCAGTTCCTGTAGTGGTAGCTCCTCCGTAACATTTTTCCATTTTCACTTGTATTGCTGGTTCTTTAGTTTCATTTGCTTTTCAGTTAGAAATAGGCGTAACAAATCTGTTAAAAATCGCAATTCTAAGTCTGAAGCAAATTCAAGTCTTGAACTTCCTTCAACTTCCCAGGAACCTAATGTTTATTGTGCTGGTTCATCTATTACTGCTCAGGTATGCTTTTGGGTTGCTGCATATGACCTGTTCATTTCAAAGCAGTTTTTCCTGGATAATATGCTGTTTTTTACCTAAACCTTTATTCCTCTTTGAAATATTTTAGAGGAAAGTATTAAGCGCTGTTGATGAGACGAAACAAAGTGACGTCTTGCCGAGCATCAGTCAAAACAGTGTTGAGCACACTCCTGCACCTGTGGTATCAGGTGTGTTTTGCTCAAGTCTGTGGTAAAATTTGTTTGGTAACCGCATGTTTTACTTAACCATTTTAGGTGGCAGAAGTGAAGTACCTCAAGCAAAGTCTTCTACGCGCTCATTTAGAAACGGCAGTACAACTTCTGAGGATAATTTAGCTTCGTGCAACAAAACTAACTCGCGAAAACGGAAGATCCAGACCGGCTGGATTAGGTCAGTTCTAATTAGCTTAGATACTACATTTATATTTTCAGAAAAGTTGGTATAATTTAACAAAAAAATTTTCATTTTTTTTTTTGCTCTTGTCGGTTGTAATTTAAGCGGTTTTCAAAGACTTTGGTAGTCTCATTTTGCTTGTTTTTAGGCGGTCTTCGAGAACTCAGAAGTTACAGATGCAACAACTTGGTCTTTCTGAGGAGTTCGCCGATGATTTACTCAAAGATTTGGATGGTCCCGAAATTGTGCCTGATAAAAAAACCTCTCAAAATCCTAAAGTTTCCTCTAGTTCTGGATATTCAGTTACGGGTACAAATAGTCTAAATGGATATCCAAACACCGTTGATGATGCAGGATTGAGAAGCTCAGGTTCAAAATCGGCAACTTGTGAGGCAGCTAAAAAAGTGATGCGTGGACCTCCTAACAGTCCAATTGTAAGGAGCAGAAGGAATGGGTTGAAGTCTAAAAATTTAAAACTTCTTGTTTCTTCGGGGAGTGGTTCGTCATCTAACTCTGATTGTAATAAGTCGCAGAAAGTTGCTACTGCTTCTCAGCTTGAGAAGGTGGAATTTTTGAGTGGTGATAGTGCAGTTGTGCAGGATAATGGCGGTGTCGTTATGCGGAATTTAGGTGTTCTTTCGAAGCCTGAAGCTTCTGCGCAGGTTGGTCTACAGAGAACATTGAGTTGGTATTACAGTTTTACTTCCAACTGTGTTTATTTTTAATAAACACTTGGGGTCTTTTTTGTTTTAGAAGATTAAAGGGGAAGTAATTCGTTGTTATCGGTGCTTAGATTAAAGCTGTAGCAGTTTCACAATCTTTATTTTTGTAAAGCTAATTGTTGTGAGTGTTTCAGTCTGATAAGATAATAAAAACTGAAGTTCCTAGCAGTGAGTCTCATAGCCCTGACATGATATCTCCTACAACTGCTATTGTCAACCTTGTCTATGAACTTGCGCAATCTTTCCCAGGTCAGATTGTTTTAGCTCTTATACTATAAACGTAACAGTATTTTCACTTTATCGTTCCTCTGTAATGTAAACGTTTATTAATTTTTTGTTACTAATCAGCGGATTTCAGCCGCTTCTGAAAGTTCTTCTGCCAAATTCATGTCGCTCTCTCCAGCGGTTGCCAAAATGAATTTAGTAAATGATTTGAAGAGTTGTGAAATGGCAACTTCAGCCAGCGAGAAAGTACATTTTTTTTTAATAGAATCACCTCGGTAATTCACTGTTTTGCATTTTTTCACCTTGTTGCTTGTGGGCCACAGCGTTTATAGTTCCCATTATAATGTTTTGAGCATTGCAGAGTACGTCAGGTGCTAGCATATTTCGTGGCCGACAGAGCGAAGTTTTTAATAATCAGTATGAAGTGAATGGTTTGTTTTTTGTTTAGAGGGCGATAGTCAGTCATTTTTCAAACTAAATTGCCAAATAAGTTTTTCAGCACATTGTTACTCATATCTTTTCTATAGGTGCTGGGCACAGCGTTTTGGGAAAACGACGCTGTTATAAGAATTATGGTTCTATGCAGTGCAGTTCATCTGCGTGCCCTAGCTCTGTTGATCGTTCAACACAAGTTGAAAGTTTAGAAAATGTTTTTCCTGGTTTGGACTTACCTCTTGAACCTGATTTTTATCCAAACGGGGAACGGGAGCTGTTACTAACCAACTCTAGCCGTTTTGACGTAGAGTTAACGGAAGGCAGTTATTTTTTGTCTTATTAAGAGTGTGTAATAACATAAAAATCAGATTCATTTTTCTGGTTGTTTAAATTCTTTGTTTCTCTTCTTTATTACAACGGTTTGAATCGTTTCGTTTACAATTTAGGTTATTCTTGCCTTAGGCTAGCTTTAAATTGATATTGATTTGACCTTTCCTCACGTGAAATTTAGGTTAAAGCTGTTTTAGGTAATTTTTTCTCAAATATTTCAGGTCCGGAACTTATAGATTTACAGAGCAGCTCTTCAAAAACTCCAAATGATCTTCAAGATTCTTTCAAAAGCAATATAAACTCAAAAGTACTCACAATTTCAGAATTTGCTCGCCGAATTTATGGAGGTGTGTAGGCTACCAATAGGCGCTCTGTTTTTCATTTACTGTTTGTGACTATAAAGGTTTCTCTGTGAATAATGGAGTCAAATTAACGTTGCGAATTCTCGCTTTGTAAACTCTTTATTTGTCTTGTTTTTTATTCCTGCGTAATATGTTATGGATTTGTTTATTTATTTTTATGTTCGGTAGATTTAGCTCGAGAACGAACGTTTCATCAGCGGTCATTTGAGTTAAGTCAACTTAAATCGAAACAGCGGCTGAATTTTGAAGACATCTTTCGTAGGAACCAAGCCAAGGGTGAATTAGCAAATGCGTATAACTCCGAGGGACCTGACGTTTTTTCTGATAAGGTCTGTTTTTCTTCATTGCTGAATAGTTTTTTTACTGATTCTGAATAGTGAAGCGTTTTATTAGTGACTTAAATTTTCCATTTTGTTAGCTCTTTTAAAATTTCATTTTATTTCTTGCTATAATTGGATTTGTGTAATTAATATTACCAGATTATTATGATGCAAATCTGCAGTGTCTTGATGTGCCTGCATCCACTTCCTCCTCTGTGATTCGAAGTTCACAGATGCTGCGGCACCCTCTGGTTGTTAAAACGGGTTTCAGTGGCTCTGTTGGAATGAAGCAGAGACACCGTAATTCTTGCGATAAACGATCGTTAACTGTTAGTTTGAATGGGATTTTAAATTTATTTTGACAGGTAAGTTGCCCAAAACCGACAGGATTTTTTTTGACATCAATCAGCGTTGTGAAATATTTTTTAGGTTTCTAACGGAGAGATTCAAGCCTTTAAATATTATTCACGACGAGTTAGCGAGTTTGACGAAATGGCTATTCCTGTTGAAACAAACGTTTCTGAGCAAGGAGAGGCACGAAGACGTCTAAGAGCAGAAGATTTTGTTCCTTTACCTCCACCAATTTTGGAAGATCATTGCTATATAAAAATGCCTAGCTCTTTCTGTCAAGAAGATGACAATCCAGGACGTTACCAAGAGAATTCATTAGATCGTGAAGAGGATGGGAAGGAATCAGCGCAGTCTTTAGAGGATATTAACAGCCATTCTTGTTCAACACCTGGTGTAAGTTTTATGTCTCAATTTTTAAAGTAAGTCACATTTTAAGATAAATGTTCCTTTTATAAGACGGATTGGTTTATAGGGAAGGAAAAGGAGCACCTTGCAGTTTTAGATGAGGGTGTTTTTCTACAATCCCCTCTTGCGCTACTTCTGTAATTCCATTTTGCCACTTCACATCTTCTTCGAAATGTTTTGGAATTTTTCTTGAAAAAAATTTTTTCAGCCTAACGTTCTTAACGATGCATCGTCTTCCGAAACCACAAAAACAAATGAAAACCCTCTCAATAAGAATCTCATCCAAAAGTCTGAAATTTAATCGATGTCAAACTCATTGAAACCTTGAATTTTATACCAACCAACTACCAGGACATTATTCTCTTGCTCCTTTTTTTTCGGTGCACCTGTGAAGTATACTGACATACTTGTTCCACAGTACTTCTGACATCCTTTTCAAAAAGTAAATTACTGAATTCAACAGCTATAATTTGTGCTTGCATAGCTTTTTAACTTGTGGTGGGTCGAGCTAATTTGGCGGAAATTTTGTTAACATATATAAATTTTGTTGCAGAGGAAGATTAAATTTAGTACATGGTATTAAATGCTGATGTTCTAAAGGTAGAGGCGTACTGAGACTCGTCTTTGTGCAGCTCTTCATTTTTGTTACAGTTCTTTGTATATTTCAGAGTTCTATCTGCATGTTATAGTACTGCTTCTTTTTTCTTATTGAAGCCTAGTTTTTTTCGTGTAGAATGTTTTCAAAAAAAAAAAAAAATAAAGGACAACGTGCCAGCTGAGATATCAAGTCGTTTGCGGGTAGCTACATCTTTTCACTTTGGCATATTTTAAACTTTAATTGTTTTTGACAATTACTGGGTTGTAAAGAGAAAACTGTGATATGTTTATTGTTGGATGAATTATGTATTTGCTCTTTATTGCTCAAAACTGCGTCTTGGGTGCACAACTCATGTCTAGTCCTCCTAGCCTTGTCAAACTCAAGGTTTTTCATTTCTCAACTGGATTTTCCAAATGGGTAGGAAGAACAAAGAAGTTTGGAGTGGTAAATTTTGACTTTTTCTTGTAATTAGAGGCCTAAACGTTTTGTATAGTTAGTGGAAACGTTGGCACATGTGTTAACCAGGTTTCGGTTGGGTCTGCTGTGCATTCATTAGTTTTCAGAGTTTCGCATCTTTCCATTTTGAAGCTGTTTGTCTTTCTTCCTCAAACGCGTCTTGTTTTATTGATGCTTATTTGTTTTCTGCAGACTAAATGCCTATAGTTTAAATGGTCTTCTATATGTACGATATTGTTTTTGTTTTGTGAGCCGAATTGGAAAGTAAAATAATACATCCGGAATGTTACTTTTTTGTGGCAAAAATGCTATTAATGGCTGCTGATAAACGAAGGGTGTTTTTTTACGTTCAAGCGGTAGATCCTTGTAATGTTTTGTCGAGGGAGGAAGATATGCGTCACTAGCATTAGTACGTTTAAACGTTTGTTTTTACAACCGTGGCTTTGTTTAGGAAGTTACTGGAGTAAGGGGTTACATATGAATGAGCAACAGGTACAGAAAGGTAAATAAGTCTCAGGGGGG